GTTCAGCATCTTAGCTGTAGAGGGCAGTGTCACTGGCCCTCATATGTGGGATCCGAACCGGGGCCCTCTGGCATCCCAAGCCAGCTCTTAACCAACACGCCTCTCGGCCGGCCCAGTAGAACTATGTTTTTGTCTTCATTTCATTACAGTTGTCCCCTCCTCGCCACCTCTTATCACCCTCTCTCCCTCCTTATTTCTTACAAATGTTCTGTTACCTTCCATGGCACCAAGATTACCCCAGGTACCAAGTTCCTAGTTGTTGAGTCATTTGAAAGCCTTTTATTCCCTTTTGCCAACTTCCCCAGTCCATCATCAGTGCAGGCTGCTAATCCTGTCCATGACACCCCACTTTGCTTGCCATGACCCAGACCCTCCTCACCTCACATTGAATCTCTATGGACATCTCCTCTTCAGAACCATCTCCAGCCCCCTCCCTTGAATTCATCCAAATGTAACAGGTGTCATCCTTACATAGGAAGAGGTTTCATTACCTCAGTCCTTGCTTAATTACTCAGATAATTTCCAGTCTTTTCAACCTAGTTAATGGCTAGCTCCCCGCTTTCATGCTAATCTCTTTGCTCAGCATCCCTCATTCTGTCTCCTCTCCAATAAATTTGGAGGTATTTTGCCATCTCCAACAAGATCTCCTTGCTCTCGCCTCTGTGCCTTTGTGCATACCAGTTTCTCACCTCCTTTGAATTAAAAATAATAATAATAAAGAATTCTTTTAGAGAACTTTAGATTTTCACTTACCTTTGACCACTGATGACCATAACATCTGCGCTACAGCCGTATTCTTTTATATCTCCATGTTCTCATGGAGATAGCTTCATCTTTGTCCTTTCATTATTGAGACATATGTTTATACACTGTTTCTATTTTAAGCTGTTAGGTGGAAGTCCTCTATTCTCTTTTCACTTTTGATTCTTTGTCTAGCTATTGATAGACAAAGTGAGACATAGTGAAAATGTGTCTCATTTTCTCACATAGTGAGAGCTCAATTTGCTGAAGACACATGTACCTTTTCCAAGCTATCAAAGATCCATAACCAGGACCTTCCTGCTTGTGAGGCACCAACTATAAACCAGTGACGGTTCTCAGTCATGCCTCCCCAGCACAGATCTTGGCTACCGAGCAGGATATCTATTCTAGTGCAGACTTGTCAGCAACTTTGGTTAGGTTACTTAACCTCTCTGCACCCCTATTTCATTATTGCTTAGATGCAAATGATGATTGTAATGCGATCTACCTTATAAGCTTGTTGTGATTTTGAAAATAAAATGTAGATACAGATATGGGTATAGATTTATGCTATCAATACAAGTAAATTTCCTTTTCCTCTCCCTGTTTCTAGGCTGTACTTCAGAATCCTACAGGGCTTGACCAGGGTCAGGAGGACAGAAAAAAAAAAAAGCAAAGAAATGCAATGGACATTTCAATAATAACGAGATTTGGTCTCACAGGCTGCTAGATATAGGAGGTGAAGACATGAGGTTTATGTAGACTTGAGAGTTCAAGCAAAAATGGTAAAACACTTGGGACTTGAAGAAGACGTAAACTCAGTGCAGGCTTACCCAGGAAATACCAGTTCATTTGCAAAGTAACTCCTCATCCTCAACTTGAAAATCTTGGGAGCAGCTGTGCGTTTTCTATTTGTTTCCAAAACTCAGTCCAACTCCCTCTTGACCCATTGTGCAGTTTGGCAGTTTGCTGCACATTCTGCTGTACCCTTTGCGCAGAGAGAGAACCTGCTGTGGAGACGTCAGGCCCCTCCCACCCCAGGGCTCCCACTGAAACCACCGACAGGGGCACCACCAACTAGCCTCCTTTGCCCAGCTCCCGTTCACCTGTTTTCTCCTTTTGGCATCCGCTTGACTCTCCAAGAGACCTCATCTCTAATGGTCTCATTTGAGATTGAAAGAATTACATTTAACTATGTTTTTTCCTTTCTGATTCTGTTCCTATGCGCTTGATTAATAAGTGTAGTGTTTTCGGCTCTACTACTGTATTTAAACTCATCTGCGCTCTTCCATATTTTAGAACGTGAATGAGTGTTTTCACTTTAGAGAGTAAGTCTGAGAAATGGCTATTTTGTTTTTTAAATACCAGAATGATCTTGGAAAAGTCTTTTTTTCTTTTTCTCAGATTTTACGCCAGAATTTCTTTTGTTCTTACCAATTTCCTCACTGATCATAGGATAAAGGAAAACAGCTTATTCAGACTGCTCCTATATGATTGATATGGATATTCCTGTTCAATTATAAACACTATAATGGAACAAGGCAATGATTGCCTTCTACTATTTTGAACTAGGGAACTGAGGAGGTTTGAGTCTTCATTGTTAAGAGTTATTCAGCAAGTCAGTACAATAATCAAAGGCTTTTTCTAAAGGAACAGAATGAAAATGGAGTTTTTTATTGGAAAACGTGGTGTCTGCCCACTTGGAAATTGATCAAATTAACTATTTAGAAATAGTGGAGGAGCATTGTGATCCAGTTTTCATGCTGAGCAAAATTAAATTGGGAATCTGTCCATGCAACTTGCGTGGGGAGTGCACATATGTCATGTGTGTATCTGGGAGCACGTGTGTGTGATTATATGCTTCATACTCAAATATGGTATTACTTGACACTGTGTGTCAAGAGTCAGAAAGACCAAAGTTTGACTAAGCATTTGTTAATATTAACTTCCTTTAAACAATTTTCACATTTA